CCGGAGCCCAGCAGGTCGAGGCTGCGGTGGCCGGGAGCGGTCACTGCACTCCAGTCTGGGTGACAGAGTGAGACTGCAACTCAAAAAAAAATAAAAATAAAAACAAAATAAAAACAAAATGATGAGCTGAAGCCCAAAGAAAAAGAAGTTAAATAGTAAAAGAATTCCCTTCTTCCAGAAGGAACCTCAGTGTCTCCTCTTTTCTCCTGAAGAAGAATGCAGTTCACAGTCATCTGAGTAGTCTACAGGGGAGAGTACCACATTGAGTCTTGTGTCATCAACAAAAACCAGAGCTCTTCTGAAGGAGCCACTCGGGTTGTCTGTGTTCATGACCCTGAGTCCCCCAGGGTGGCCTACCTGGCGCTGCAGCAGGGATCTTGAATATCACGTACTTCGTCTTCCCCTTGTCCACAATGGATGTGCCCATGTTGAGGATGTTTCCAGCTTCATCGTAATGAGGATGTGAAGTTGCCAGATTGACAGCCACATATTTACGGATAATCAACCTGCAAAACATGACACCGGGTTTTTCAAAGGGGAGCGAGTGCAATCCTACACCAACCTGAGTGATTCTAGGTTCAGGGAGAGTTTTGCACATCTCCAAAATCCCAGCGACCCACCTTCCAAAGGAGAAAACAGTCGTCTGAACAATCTACAAAGAAGAGTACCCCATTAACCATTGTAATAAAAGATAAAAGATGTCTTTATAAAAGACGGCTGATTTGTTTTGTTCCTATTTTTTTGAATCAGGGTCTTACTCTGTCTCCCAGACTGGAGTGCAGTGGCACAATCACAACTCGTCACAGTCTCGACTGCCTGGCTCAGGTGATCCTTCTGCCTCAGCCTCCCGAGTTACTGGGACCACAGGTATATGTCACATGGAGCTAACTTTTTGATTTTTGTAGAGACAAGGTCTTGATATGTTGCCCAGGCTGGTCTTGAACTCTTGGGCTCAAGCAATCCTCCTACCTCAGCCTCCCAAAATATTTGGGATTACAGGCGTGAGCCACTGTGCCCAGCGAGACAGTTAATTGGGATACGTGTTCACTGGATTCTTCCTAGGAAAGGTATCTGCATGGGCATTTATTTTTGTGCCCTTGAAAATAAGACAGAATTTGCTTTTAAAGAGGATTTTTACTCTTGTGACCCGATATGACCTCACAAGGGGTTGCAGAGAAGTTAGGGAGCTGTTGTGTTTCTGCGACTGCTGTCCTGATTCTACTGCCTGACCTTGCCAGGTGACCTCAGCATGGAGACCAGATGTCCCACCGCAGAAAGCTCCAAGTACTGACCTGGGCAGAGAGGTAGCCTTCTCTCTAATCTTGGCTGCCTGCTTTGTGTCTTTCTGGTTAGGCCATTTAAACTCTCCCCTTTGGCATTTCACAGAGGCATTAATCTCCAGGCCTCTCTCCTAGGATCATTCTGGGAACGGAGAGGTTATGAAAACATTTGACCGAAGTTAAACTCGACTACCAGGCCAAATAATGACCGCCCTCCCCGCCCCCACCATGCGGAACAGGCCACAGCTGCAGAACAATGGGGTGGACGGAGACCAACTGTCCACCCTTCCTCCCCGAGAACAGCACCATTTCTAGGCACTGCTCCATGCATTTCCGCTCTGTCCCCTTGTGTAAAGCGACTGTCAGATGGACCAAGGCTGTCCAGCTTAAAAGGAGCTAGACAGAATTTCACAGCTAAGAAAAGCCTCATACTTTTCACAGATCATTAAAATGTAAAAGCCATCGGGGTTTTGAACAGCCAGCTAGAGCAAATGGAAAGTGGGTCTATTGATTTTCACCAAAACGTTGACCGGATTTTTCCTAAGGAAGGCATCTGGTGGGCATTTATTTTTGTGTCTTTGCTGTCTGCCTAATGCCTCCCTCTTCAGGTCAATACAAGGTGGGGCTTCTGGGAATCCGAGGCGTTTCAACAGAGTCATTCATTCAAATTCTTCCTGGGGTCCCTCTGTGCCTAGAACTACGGACGACTGAGTTAAGCTGTAACTTCCAAAAGACATGCTGGAGTCCCAACCCCTGGTACTCGTGAATGGGAACTCATTCGGAAATAGGAACCTTGTGGATGTAATTAAGTGAGGATGAGGTCATACTGCATTAGGGTGGGCCCTAACTCAATGCCTTGTATCTTTATAAAAGATGGTTAATTTGGGTTGGGCCCGGTGGCTCATGCCTGTAATCCAAGTACTTTGGGAGGCTGAGGTGGGACAATAACCAGGGGTTCAAGACCGGCTTGGGTAACAGAGTGAGACCCCGTCTCTACAAAACATATGCAAATTAGCCAGGTGTGACGGCACGCGCCTGTAGTCCCAGTTACTCAAGAAGCTGAGGTAAGAGAATTGTTTGAGCCCTGGAGGTCAAGGCTGCAGTGAGCTGGGATTGTACCACTGTGCTCCAGCCTGGGCAACAAGTTGAGACTCTGTCTCAATAAATAAATAAATAAAAGACAGTTACCTTGGACACAGACCCACAGGAAGAAGGACATGAGATGACAGAGGTAGACGCTGGAGTGATATGTCTATTGAGGAACACCGGGATTGCTGGCAACCACCAGAAGCTGAGAGAGGTCAGGGAGGATTCTCTCCTAGAAAACTCAGAGACAGCCTGGCCCTGCCGACACCTTGATATCAGACTTTTGGCCTCAAGAACTGTGAGAGAGTAAATTTCTTTTTTGAGTTGGGTCTCACTCTGTCATCCAGGCTGGAATGCAGTGGCGTGATCACAGCTCATTACAGCCTCGACCTCCTGGGCTCAGACAACCCTTCCGCCTCTGCCTCCAGAATAGCTGGAACTTCAGGCATATGCTACCATGTCCGGCTAATTTTTTTTATTTTTTGTAGATACAAGGTCTTGCTATGTTGTCCAGGCTGGTCTCGCTCAAACTCCTGGTCTCAAGTGATCCTCCTGCCTTGGCCTCTCAAAGTGCTGGGATGACAGGCGTGAGCCACTGTGCCCAGTCTAGAGAGCAAATTTCTGTTGTTTTAAGCCATCTAGTTTGCGGGACTGTGTCACAGCAGCCCTAGGAAACCAACACAGACACAAAGATGCAAACAACGCATTCCCTGCCTTCAGGGAGCCTAAAATCTAGTGCTAAGTGCTGGGCTGGGGGATGCCCAGGATGGGACGACCTTGAGTGTGGGGGGGGTCCTCTGAGCCCCTTGCAGGCTGCACAGCCTCACCCAGGGGTCCCTGACTCCTTCTTTCTTGAGTCAGGAACTGATGTTGGCTGTATACCTTCTCCAGGGTTTCCAGAGTCTGTGGGTTGATTTTCCTGATATAATTAGTCTCTGTGGTGGCATAGAAATCTTCTCCACACTTCATAATGTTGATCAGGCAGTTGTCTGTGAAATCGGGGATGGTGTGAGACAAGTAGGAGAAAGCTCTGGGGAAGAAAGAAAATCAGCAGAGTCAGCGGCTGTATCTACTGAGCCGGAAAGTTCTGCCCTAGATGGTTAGTGTTCCTACCACTTAAAAACGCTTTACTTCAACAAAGAAAGAAACAGGACTGTGTCCCAATGGGTCACTTGAGGAATCCTAAGAACTCGGATATCGACTTCCCACAAGACACTTGCATGTTGAGTCAGCTAAGTGAGTCAGCCGGGACAACACGGCTACCAACTTGATCCCTCCTGGGTTCTAAAAAATCCAAAGGTCTCCAACTCCAGAGCCAGCAAGAGCTGGTGGTTTTTGTTCCAAAGTACTTCAAGTAGCTCTGCAGAAATCATCCATGGACATATAACGTCCCCCAAAGCCTAGCAAACAGGTAATGCCTGCTTTGGCAGGAAAGAGGGTCAACATTGGTTATCTCAAATTTGTCCAGGAGAATAGTTGTTTTTTTTTTTTTTTGAGTTGGATTTTCACTCTTGTTGCCCAGATTGGAGAGCAGTGGCACACTCACGGCCACAGCAGCCTCAACCTGCTAGGCTTAGGTGATCCTTCCGCCTCAGTCTTCCAAGTAGCTGGAACTACAGACACATGGCTATCACGCCCGGCTAATTTTGGGGATTTATTGTAGAGATGAGATCTCACCAAGTTGCCCAGGCTGGTCTCAAACCCCCAGGCTTGGGCAATCCTCTCGCCGTGGCCTCTCAAAGTGCTGGAATCACAGGCTGAGCCACCGTGCCGGCCAAGATTAGTTTTTTACATATGTTTTTTGTCTGTTTGTTTTTTAGACAGGGCTACATATGTTGTCCAGTCTGTTCCCAAACTCCTGGGCTCAAGTAATCCTGCTTTCTTTGTCTTCCAAAGTGCTGGGATTTCAGGTATGAGCTACCACACCTGGCTCAGAAATTAGTTGTTGTTTTTTTAAAGAAAAACAAATTAATTATTAGTTAAGAACATAAAATTCATTTGATCAGAAGGCACAGTCAAAGCAGGAAGAAAGGAAAACCAAAGGAGTTATAGACTTTGAAATTGGCAAACCACGAATCCTTGTATTGAGTAATGCACCCCCTACTGACAAATAGTGGAATAGCAAGGAGCTGTCACAGATTGTGCTTTTATTTTTATTTATTATTTGAGCGGGGTCTCACCCAGTCACCCAGGTTGGAGTGCAGTGTCATAATCATGACCCACCACAACCTCGACCTCCTGGGCTCAGGCGATCCTCCCACCTCAGCCTCCCGAGTAAGCTGGGACTACATCACGCACTGCCACACCAGGCTGATTTTTTTAGTTGTGTATAGACAAGGTCTCGTCATGTTGCCCAGGCTGGTCTCAAACTCCTGGGCTTAAATGATCCTCCCACCTGGGCCTCCCAAAGTGCTGGGATTACAGACACGCGCCACCACGTCCTGCTGATTTGCCGATTTCTTGTAGACACGGGGTCTGGCTGTGTAGCCTAGGCTGGATTGTGGGTTTAAAAGAATTCTGTCCCCTTTCCTCTTTCTCACCGGCTACTCCCTCACCTATCCCCATTTGCAAATGTGAGTTCAGCCTCTGTCTGTGCCAGCCCTAGGGCGGATGCCGGGCTCATGATGTCGCTTCTAGAGAAGCAGAAGCAATCCTCCATCTCGGGGCCAGGCTACCCCAGCACTTTCATAAGCCCTCCAGTGTAAGAGTACCAGAAAGGAGACACTGATGGTAGGCCTGCCTCCCTGGCCAGTAATTTAATCTGTCAGCTGTGTTACACATTCACATGCGTCCTAACCCAGAGGATTTGAAACATACTTGGGAAAATCTTCCCCATCCTTGGCATCTGCTTGCCCTGGCCCTACCTCTCCAAGCATCCTCTCCGTCTCCTTATTCTTGTACAAGTAAACAGGAACCTAGATCTCTTCTTGCTTTTTTTAACACAAAATATAGCATACTATATGCTCATTATACACCTTGCTTCTTTTTTTTTACTTAACGTATCTTAGAATTTCTTCCATACAGCACATAAAGAACATCCTCATTCTTTTTTTTCTTTTTAACCTCTACATGCCTTCTTCTCTTGTGGTTTTATGGTTATTTATTTAACCACTCCTCTGCAGATGAACATTGGGCTGTTTTCAGTTTCTTTTTCTTTAACTTTTAAAATTATCATTAATGCCAGGCATGGTGGCTCACGCCCGTCATCTCAGTACTTTTGAAGGTGGAGGCGAGAGGATTGCCTGAACCCAGGGATTCGAGATCAGTCTGGGCAACTGGGCGAGATCTCTTCTCTACAACAAATCAAAAAACTTAACCGAGTGTGGTGGCGCACGCCTGTGGTTCCAGCTACTTGGGAGATTGAGGCAGAAGGATTGCCTCAGCCCAGCAGGTTGAGGCTGCGATGGCCATGAGTGTGCCACTGCACTCCAGCCTGGGCTACCGAGTGAGACTCCAACTCAAAAAAAAAAAGATCATCATTATTATTTGTAGAGAAAGTGTCTTGCTATATTGCTCAAGCTGCTCTCAGACTCCTGGACTCAAGTGATCCTCCCCCCTCAACCTCCTAAATATAGGCGCGAGCCACCATGTCCAACCTGCTCTCAGTATCTGACTATAGCAAATAATGCAGCTATCAAAAACTCTGTGCATTTGTCATTTCAGACACGTGCAAGTATACCTCTACACCGAAGGGAATGTGAGTTTATAATTTCTGTAGGTAATTCCAAATTGCTTCCTCACCAGCTAGGTGGAAGAGCATCTAAGAATTTGTCAAATGCCCTTTGCCTCTCTTGCTAGCTGTGATCAGGAATAGCCTAGTGCCTATGGTCAAAAGGCAGTGTGGAGATTTTATCCACCCTAAGGAGAGTTGTCAGAGGAGCAAATGTTAGTTATTTTTGACCACCCAGGATATCAAAAAGCATGAAATTCGGTCAAATCCCAAATGTGCAATTACTTGGAAAATATGTTTTTGCAAGGGTCTGGATAGGCCATCGTCCCAAACTCTGACACCACAATCCTGTTTGCCTCGATGTTGGCGTTGTAGGTATCACTTCTCAGGTATTTGCTCCTGTAATAGACTTCACCTGAAAGAAAGAAGCAGCATAGTCTCAGATTGACTCCTTTACAGGGCTTTAAAGTCAATTTCTGCCAGTCTGGGGGGCTCGCTCCTGTAATCTCAGTACTTTGGGGGGCGCTGAGGCAGCAGATTGCTTGAGTCAAGGGTTTGAGACCAACCTGGGCAACATAGTGAAATCTTGTCTCTTAAAAAAAAAAAATTAGCCAGGCATGATGGCATGAGCCTGTAGTCCCACCTACTCAGGAGGCTGAAGTAGAAGGATCGCCTGGACCCAGGAGGTCAAGGCTGCAGTGAGCCATGTCCGTTGTGATCATGCCAGGGCAGTCCAGTCTGGGTGACAGAATGAGGCCCCAGCTTAAAATAACTAAAAGTCAATTTCGGCCATTCTAGGGGTTTTATTGGGGAAGGACGAGTTAGTTCACGAGGACGGGTTCCTCTGGTGTGCCTGATCCAGCCAGCATTTGGAATACGAGTTCACATGCACATGTTCTCACTTAGACTCACAGCAGCATGGCCAGGTCAAGGTGCCTGTTCTTAACTTATCCACACACAGGACTCAGGCTCAGAAACATCAGGTCGCCTTGTCAGCATCCTCCAGCCAAGAACGCCCACCCGAGCCACTGACTAGCCCTCCTACCATGCTTGTATCCCTCCAGGGAAGGCAGGGCTTGGAGGGCTGATCCAGAAGGCAGGACCTGGTTCAGTCCTGACTGTCCTGCCTTCAGAAGCCTGGTCGACTACTCCTGCTCTGTGGGAGACACAGTGGATGTCTACTCCCACAGGAGATGACAGAACACCCAATTCTGCACACCAACGGGGGGTCAGGACTGTGTTTATTTATTTTTTTTAATTTTTTTATTTTTGAGTAGGAGTCTCACTCTGTTGCCCAGGCTGGAGGGCAGTGGCACACTCACAGCCACTGCAGCCTCGACCTGCTGGGATCAGGTGATCCTTCCGCCTCAGCCTTCCAAGTAGCTGGAACCAATAATTTTTTTTATTTATTGTAGAGACGAGGTCTCGTCAAGTTACCCAGGCTGTTCTCGAAGCCCTGGACTCAGGGAATCCTCTCGCCTCTACCTCACAAGGTGCTAGGATTACAGGTGTGAGCCATCATACCTGGCTAGGACTGTGTTAATGTCTAATTCATCCAGACTCTGGAGAGAGTCTGTCTCACTGCATCAATCTCTTGACCAGTCCACTGAGACCAACCTGAGAATATACCAGATGGTTTAAGACCTGTGAGACTTTCCTGTTTCTAACATAATAAAGTACCACATACTTGGTGGCTTTGTACAAAACACATTTGCTGCCTTCTAATTTGGGAAGACGTAGTCTGAAATAGGTCTCAAGGGACTAAAATCGAGGTATGGACAGGGTTAATTTCTCTAGAGGCTCTGGGGAGAATTTGTTCCTTGCTTTTTCCAGCTTTTTAGAAACTACCAAAGACTGGGCATGGTGGCTCACACCTGTAATCTTAACACTTTGGGAGGCTGAGGTGGGAGGATTGCTTGAGCACAGGAGTTCGAGACTACCCTGGGTAATATAGTGAGACCTCACCTTCACAAAAAATAAAATAAAATAAATAGCCAGACATGATGGTATATGCTTATAGTCCCAGCTACTTAAGAGGCTGAGGTGGAAGGACCACCTGAGGCTGTGGCGAGCCATGACTATGCCACTGTACTCTCACCTGGTGACAGAATGAAACCCCAACTGAAAAAAAGAGAAAAATGTGGGGAGACAGAAAGAGAGAGAGAGACAGACAGACGCCCACCCAACATTATTGCCATATGATAGACTCAGGGGATACAGACAACATATTCCCAAGAAATTTTCTCCTAGTGCCTTTTTTTTTTTTTGAGTAGGAGTCTGTCACCCAGGCCGTAGTGCAGTGACACACTCACAGCCACTGCAGCCTCAACCTACTGGGCTCAGGCAATCCTTCTGCCTCAGCCTTCCAAGTAACTGGAACCACAGGTGTGTGGCACCACGTCCAGCTAATTTTTTTATTTATTGAAGAGACGAGCTCTCACCAAGTTGTCCAGGCTGGTCTTGAACCCCTGGACTCAGGCAATCCTCTTGCTTTGGCCTCCCAAAGTGCTGGGATGACAGGTGTGAGTTACTGTGCCTGGCCCCAGTGTCTTTTTATATTTTAAGAAAAGGAGGTGTTGGAGCAGTGGCTCATGCCTGTCATCCCAGTGCTTTGGGAGGCCAACGCAGGAAGATCGCTTGCAAAGGCCAGGAGTTTGAGACTAGCCTGGGCAACATAGTGAGAACCCATCTCCACCATACCCAAAAGAAAAGCTGCTACTAAGAGCTAACATCTATTGAGCATGAGTGTGCTAAACACTGCGCTGGGCACTTCATGTATATCATCTGCCTAATATCGTAACACCAGAAGTGAGTAAAATACTCCAGCTAAGAATGTGCTCGCTAGAAAAAACAATCAACAAAAGGTCATTTGCTAAGTAACAGCAAAATAAAACAAAATCTAAGTAATGCTTAAAGATTTCAAATTTCTTACCAAGTGAAGTACAAAGGACTTGGGTACTCACAGCTCTGCCGACTCATTGCTCAGCTAATAAAATCGAGGCCCAGGGAGGTTAAGCACCTTGCCTTAAGCCACACAGCTAGCAAGTAGTAATCTAGACTCACAGGTTAGCAATGGGCATCTAAACCTAGTTCTCTCTCTCTCTCTCTGAATCGGAGTCTCACTCTGGACTGGAGTGCAGTGGCATGATCATTCATGGTTCATGGCTGCCTCGACCTCCTGGGCTCAGGCAATCCTTCCGTCTCAGCCTCCCCAAGTAGCTGGAACTACAGGCATGTACCACCATGCCTGGCTAATTTTTTTGTAGAGACAAGGTCTTGCTGTATTGCCCAGGCTGGTCTTGAACTCCCGGGCTCAAGTGATCCTCCTGCTTCAACTTCCCAGATTGCTAGGGTTACAGGCATGAGCCACAGTGCCCAGCTTAAACCCGGCTCTTTTAACCAAGATTCTAACATGGCAAGAACAATCAGTTTGACTATTCTGTCTGATCCTTGCAATTAAAAATATACCTGCAGAAATGTATTGTCATAACCATGCATCAAAAACTGAACATACTCACATTAACGACACCCTGATCAAGAAACAGACCACAAGCAGACCCTTAAGAGCCGCCTCATATCTGCGTCCAGTCACTAATCTCTTTCCCTCCAGGGTAGACACTATCTTGACTTCTAACAGTTTCGATTGGTTGTACCCTTGGGGTTGTGTTTTCTCGTCCGTCTGTGTAGGATCTGAGTGTGCATTTCCCTGGTGATGACTCTCATCTGTGACAACAGCCACAACACCCATCCTCATGAAATTGGAGGAGATGGTGAAAAACCAGCTTGCTCCTTCTCTAGTTTTCAGGAGGGTCATTGTGTCCCTAAGGGACAGATAGTCATCAATCTGCCTCTCACTTCTCAAAAAGATACATCTTGTGGGGGGTGGGGTCTGTGTGAATAAGTATCACCGAGACAGATTTATTCCCCGGGCAGCCAGAAGAAATATGGAGGAACAGTTAGGAGCCTGAGTTTGGGGTTGACCAGTCCCTGAGTTCATCATCTTTTTTTTTTGAGTTGAGTTCTCACTCTGTCGCCCAGGCTGGAGTACAGTGGCACAATCATGGCTCACTTGACCTCCTGGGCTCAGGCGATCCTCCTGCCTTAGCCTTCTGAGTAGCTGGGATTACAGGTATGGGCCACCAAGCCTAGCTAATTTTTAAAAAAAAATTTCGTAGAGACGATGAGGTCTCGCTCTGTCACCCAGGATGGTCTTGAACTTCCGGGCTCAAACAATTCTCCTACCTCGACCTCCCAAAGTGCTGGGATTACAGGTGTGAGCCACCATGCCTGGCCAGCCCTGAGTTCATCTTTCAACCAGAATTTATTAACTACCTTGATGGACCAGGGAGTGGTGACATATTTGTGAGCAGAATAGCCAAGATTCCTACCCCTAAGGATATTCAAGCCTTCATGTAGATATGAATTCTTTATCATGTACCAACCATGCACTTGACCTTGATCAGAGGCACACTTCAGTCCCCTCTGCTGTGACACGGGGATCGTGATACATTCCTGCAGAGCTGTGTGACATTTAAGGATTGTAAGATGCTGGGACACATCGTAAGTGCTCGAGAAAATCTATATATAGTATTGAGACACAGTAGACAGAGTGCTCAGAGTTTTGGCTCTAGGGTTCATCCCATCCAAGCTGGTGACCTTGGGCTGGTCTCTTCATCTCACTGAGTGCCACTTCCCCTGACCCGAAGGTGGAGATCACACAGTCCTCCCTTCCCAGGGTGGGCAGTTTTGAAAGTGATGTAATGATGCAATGTGTTTGACCCATTGGCATGCACATGCCCTTGACTAATGAAGGCTTTGGAAACTCCAGATTGTCCAACAAAATCCCGGCAGCAGGGAGGCTTATCTGGGGGGCAGGGAGGCCACACCCACTGGTCCTCAGCCACATGTCCCACAGAAGCAGAGACCCACTCTAGGGCTGTGCTGGTCTTGCTTGAGCCAGTCGGTCCTTCCCCGCTCACTCTTTCTAGGAGTCTCCACCACAAGGCATTGGCTCGGTGCTCTGGGCCCCAGTGGGTTCTTGACCTGAAACACTGAAATGTAAATACCCAGCCCAGGCTGGGCTGTAGACAGGCCACCCATTTCCTAGAAGCATTCACACCAGAGCACAGAGCACCCTGGACCACGGAAAAATGGTCATCTGGAATTGCTCGAGGCTGACACTGGACTTTGAGGCTGAGATTAAAGAGGGAGACACCCGTGCACACCCTAGCACGCCACTCTCGGGCGAGTCCAATTAGTCACATTTCTTCTGGAGACACACAAGTAAACAGACGCGCTCCTGCCTGGGATCTTTTAGAACTGGGTCCAGTTTGATATTTTAGGGGGAGGGGGATATATATGTATATATACAGACTTTCCAATATTCAAATCCTGTTGGAACACCGACTTTGCTCTCTATTAGATAATAAATATCATGAATGAGGGAGACTTAGAATCATTCACCTCTCTGCGTGCTTTGTCAAATCTTTTATATTGGAATTCTTTTCTTTTCTTTTCTTTAGAGTCAGGGTCTCGTTCTGTCACCCAGGCTGGAGTGCAGTGGCATGATCATGGCTCACTGCAGCCTCTACCTTGGAAGACTTCAGTGGGCTGCAGTCATCTTTTTAGACAACCATTTGGCTCAGCCATCCCCTGCTGTGTTACTCTTATCCCTGGGTCCCTGATGGTCTCTAGAGAGGATGCAGGTGTAATTGCTCTGTCAGCTGCTAGGGTGTCCCTCAGTCCAGGCACATGAGTAGAGTTACTTAAGCCATTTGTCATTTCCCAGATAGTTGGAGTGTGTGTGTGTGTGTGTGTGTGTGTGTGTGTGTGTGTGTGTGTGCGCGCGCACGCACTGGGTAAAGATAATAGAAAAAGTTCCAAACTCTGGGCTGGGCATGGTGGCTCATACCTATAATCCCAAGCATTTTGGGAGGCTGAAGTGAGAGGATTGCCAGAGCCCAGGAGTTTAAGACCAAACTCGGCAACATAGCGAGACCTTGTCTCTATAAAAATTAATAATAAACAAATTTCAGTCTGAGCAACACAGGTTCAAATGCCAGCACCACCCCACCAAGATTTTGGATCAGTCATCCAGCCTCCCTAAAGTCTCAGTGTCTGCGTTGCAAAGCGGGGACAAAGAACACCTTCCACACAATGTTTACACGAGCCCCAGGAAGAGATCACGGAGTCGGCAGTCGTCAAAGCCAGGCAGAAGGGAAGCTCTTGGGGCTTTTACCTCCTCTGTCTCTCCTTCGAAACAGCATTTATTTTTCCAAGAATCACAGGGAACTTCTGTTTAGAGAAGAGGGAATCGTTAAGGTTTAGGGCTGCAGCAAACACTCTGTGGGTGGTCACGGTGAAATCTGCGAGTTTCTGCAAACTCAGAGATCATGAATTTCCTCCGTGGTATATCTGTTTGGGTGGAAATGCTAGAACGAGTGGCCGGCACAGAGTCTACAGTCAAAAAATCAATTGCCTATTGGCTCCAAGGTATTAACGGCATACACTTACAGGAGCATGTACTATGTGCTAGACATTTTATGGAGTTCCTTACATGTGTTAACTCATCTGACACCTGAGGAGGGTCTCCTAGCAACTCTGATGTGCTACTGATAGCTCCATTTTACAGCTGGGAGGACTGAGGCACAGAGAGGTCCAGTGACTTGGCCAAAGTTGCACAGTTTAGGTACATGTTAGCCAGGGTCGTGGAGTTGGGATTCAAATCCAGGGACAGTAATGGTGGCTTCTAATCGATCGAGTGTCTGTCAGGTGGCAGATCTTGCTAAATGTCCAGCACTTCTAATGATCCCCACAGTTTCCAGGGGAGGGTGATGGAGCTTATTTTACTGAGAAGGAAATGGAGACCAAGGGACTTCAAGTGACCCAGTTCATCCATGTTTCACATTGGAACACGGGAGTCCAAAATTTAGTGGAGCCTGGAACACCTGGACACCAATCTGCCCATGGTGTGGCCTTGAACCTACTAAATCTGTCTCGGACCTCTTTAAGACCTCGGCTCACGCTTTTGTGACATAAACCAGCTCAATGGCCAGCAGCAAAGAACTGACAGTCCATCTCCAGAGCAGACACCTGGACTCAGAGTTCTGCCTTATATGTGGTGTTCTGTATCCATGCATTTCATGCCTGCCTGGGGAGACCCATTCAGCTTCCTGCCTGGGTGGTGCGGCTTCCACAGGGCGAGCAGTAGATTGACTTTGTTCTTTCTGGTTCTATTCTGTTCCTGTTTTGATTTTATTTATTTATTTATTCACTTATTTAGTCCAGAGAAGTCTTACTATAGCCCAGGCTGGAGTGCAATAGCACAATCAGGGCTCACTGCAGCCTCGACCTCCTGGGCCCAAGTAATCCTTCTACCTCAACCTCCTGAGTAGCTGGGACTTCAGGTGTATACCACCACACCCAGATAAGTTTTTTTTGTTTTTGTTTTTTTTTTATAGAGGCGAGGTCTCACTGTGCTTCCCAGCCTGGTCTCAAACTCCTGGGCTCAAGCGATCCTCTTGCCTTGGCCTCTCAGAGTGCTGAGATGACAAGTGTGCGTCACCATGCATGGGCCCTATTTCTATTTTATGCATGCCTGGTGCTAGAGCCTATAACCTTCGCCCGGCTCTTGCCGGCATTACTGAGAATGCACATTCTTCTGCAAAGGCACCTTGGCCACCAAGTTTGTGCTTGTGGTAGTCTGAACGATGCACCTCGCCCCCAAATATCCACATCCTAATCCCTAGAACCTGTGAATATGTGACCTGACGTGGCAAAACTGGCCTTTGTAGATGTGCTTAAGTTAAGGATTTGGAGATGGAGGATTATCCTGGATTATCTGAGTTGATCCAAAGGGATCACAAGGGTCCTTGTAAGAGGGAGTCAGAGGGTCAGAATCAGAGAAGGGGCTGTAAGGATAGAAGCAAAGGGGGAGGGGAGAGGAGAGAGAAGGAGAGAAGGAGAGAGGGAGGAGGGGAGGTTGGAAGGGAAAGGAAGGGAGAGAGAGAAGAGAGGGAGGGTAGGAAGGAGGGAGGGGGAGGGGAGAGGGAGAGGAGGAGGGAAGAGCCTGTGGGAGAGGTTGCAAGATGTTACGCTGCTGCTTTGAAGGCAGAGATGGGGCCACAAGCCAGGGAATGCAGGCAGCTTCTAGAAGACAGCAAAGTTGAGGAAATGAAGGCTCTCTTAGGGCCTCCAGGGATCGCAGTCCTGGCCACCCCTTGATTTCAGTCCAGTGAGACCTGAGAGAATAAATTTGTGTCGCTTTTGTGTTGCTGTTTTGAGTCTGGGTCCCGCTCTGTCACCTAGCCTGTCGTGCATGGTTCACCACAACCTTGACCTCCCGGGCTCAGGCGATACTTCTACCTCAGCCTCTGGGGTAGCTGGGGGACTACGTTTTTTATTCTTATTTTTGTTGAGATGAGGTCATGCCATGTCACCCAGGCTGGCCTTGAACTCCTGGTCTCAAGCCATCCTCCTGCCTTGGCCTCCCCAACTGCTGGAATTACGGGCATGAGCCACCACGCCCAACCCCATATTTGCACTGTTTTAAGCCACTACGTCTGTAGTCATTTGTTACAGCAGCAGCAGCAAACCCGTACGCACTCTCACCGTCTTTGATGGCAAAGCTGTGGAGCAAGGCCAGGCCGTCAAACCAGTGGTTGTAGCTGGTCTCCCCCACCGTGTGCATCCCAGGCCCATTGCGAAGCAGCGTTCCCTGCAGCCACGTTGGAATCTTGCCTGTCAAAAGAGAGCACGTTGAGGTTCCAGAGCCCACCCCTCTGAACCCAAAGGCTGAAAGAAATGATGGTGGAAAGGGGCCGAGTAGCCCCAAGACCACTCATCGCATCTGCTTACTTATTCTGGAATTGTTTCCAGAAAGCATCTAACGCACCTCGCATTTTGGTAGCACTGAGGATACAAAGATGGATTGACATCATGCCTGTCCCACTCCCTGACCACTGAGGAAACAGACAAATAATCAGACACACAAAATACCCTGTAATGTGGGTAATGCCAGAAGTCCAGAAGAGGGTGCCACAGACCCATGAAACAGAACCTCATCCTGGGTGGATTGAGAGCAGGAGGGTGTGGATGGCTTCCTGGAGGAGGCGGCCTGGCTCACAAAGGCATAATGCAAGAACATTCTAGAGTTGTGCTGTCCAATATGGTAGCTACCAGCCCCACGTGGCAATTGAGTGCTTGAAATGTGGTTGGTCAGAAATGAGATGTGCTATAAGGATAAACCACACTCTGGATTTCAAAGGCTTAGTATGAAAAGAAAGTAAAATATCTTATTAGCAGGTGTTGAATATTGATTTCATGGGGAAGTGATAATATCTTGGATTTGTCATGTTAAATAAAACATACTGAGATTAATTTAACCTTTTTACTTTTTTGAATGGGTCTACCAGAAAATTTAAACATGTACATAGCATGGGTTACAAGCGTCATTTTTTTTTGTCCAAGAGACAGGGTCTTTCTCTGTTGCCCAGGCTGGGGTGCAGTGGTGTCATCATGGCTTACTGCAGTTTCAACCTTCTGCTGGCTCAAGGGATCCTCTCACCTCAGCCTTCCCACGTTGCATATACTACCATGCCTGGCTAAACATGGTTATATATATATATGTATATAAAATTTAATTTTGAATTTAGAAACGGGATCTTGCTATGTTGCCCAGGGTATCTCAAACTCCTGGCCTCAAGCCAGCCTCCTGCTTCAGCCTCTGAAAGTGCTGGGATTATTGGCGTGAGTCGCCGTGCCTAGCTGAACACAAGTTATATTTCTAGGGGATAGCTCTGCTCTGGGGACAGGGTGCAGTAGCAGATGCTGTTGGTACCCACCCCCCAAGTCCTTGGTGTCCATCTCCCCCTGGAGAGTGCTTTCTGCAAAAGCCTGCAGCTGTCTGCCTGAGGGCTTGGCTCTGATGGCAGCTAGGGAGTTGGGGTGGGACAGATCCACCCACAGGCAGGACAAGTGGAAGCAGTTTGGAGAGTTGACACCCTGGAAGGCAGCTCTTACCCAGCGATGGCTGAGGAATTGGGACACAAATCCCACCACTGCCTTGGCCTTCCCTGGCCCAGCGAGGCAGGTTTTACATGCCTACCCGGGGCTGCAGCTCCAAGGCCTGGCCATCAATGACTGACAATGCCTCTTTGTGGGTTTCCTTCTCTCTTTCCCCTGATTTTCTGCCAATATTTCTCAGGATTATGTCCCAAATAAACTACTTACACCTGAGTTCTTGCCTCTGGAGAAACCTGGACCAAGAGATGGAGACCAGGAGAGGCCGTGCTGTTTAGTAAGACTGGACTGTCATTTTCCAGCAGGGAAATTGTAGGCAACAAGGTTGAACAATAACGGGTCAGGTGACAATGGTCACCAAGACGACACTAAGTGTCCCAATGTGATCCTCAGGAGAAATAATAGGGAATGACAGGATTGGATTTTTTTTTTTTACAATTCTTTATTGCAACACAACTTATATAAAATAAAACTCATTGTTTTAGAGCATACAAGTCAGGGGTTTTTAGTGTATTTACAATGTTGTGCAGCCATCACCTCAATCTAATTCCGGAACATTCCATCACGCCCAAAAGAAATTCCCCATACCCACCAGCAGGCACTTTCCATTCTCCCCTTATCCCCGGCCCCTGGCAACCATTCATCTATGTTCTGTCTCGATGAATGTGCCTGTTCTGGACATTTCATCTCAATGGAATGTGATCAGAGCTGGGGCTTCAAAGGCTGTCTCTGTGGGATGGAATGTGGTCTAGGGGAGCTGAGGGGAGAATGGAAGACCAGAGAGGACCAGGGAGTCTGTGGGGAGGGTGAAAAACAGATGAACAGGGACATGGAGGACACAGAACCAATAGGACTCTGTTTGACTAAATATGGGGGGACAGCGAGGAGAGCACATAAAAATGACAGTGAGGCTGGGCACGGTGGCTCGCGCCTGTAATCCCAGCACTTTGGGAGCCCGAGATGGGTATGGGGACGGATTGCTTAAGCTCAGGAGTTCCAGACTAGCCTGGGAAACATTCAAATTGATTAACTGATCAATTATCTTTTTAAAACTTAAAGGAAATAGATCCAAATATTAATAGCGCTTAAGAGATGAAAATATAGCCAGGCGCAGTGGTTCAGACCAGTAATCTCAGCACCTTGGAAGGCTGAGGCTAGAGGACTGCCTGAGCCAGGAGTTTGAAACCAGCCTGGGCAACTTGGTGAGACTCATCTCTACAATAAATACATAAATTAGCTGAGTGTGGAGGTGTACACCTGTGGTCCCAGCTACTTGGAAAGCTGAAGTGGAAGGATCGCCTGAGCCCGGGAGGTTGAGGCTGTGGTGACTGTGAGCATGCCACTGCACTACAGCCTGGGCAACAGAGTGAGACTCTGCCTCAAAAAAAGAGAGAGAGAGAGAGAGAGAGAGAGAGAGAAAGAAAGAGAGAGAGAGAGAAAGAAAGAGAGAGAGATAGAAATATAGCTGATTTGTATTTCCTTCTGTGCTCTCCTTTGCACTTCCAAATTTTGCTTATAGTTTAATATACCTACATTCATATATATACATATAGATTGCACATTACCTGCGTAACAAGGAAAAACAGACATAAAAGCTGTTCTTCTCTTTCCAAAGACCCCCAAGGCAATTTCTCAGTTGAAAATCTCCAATCTGACTCCTCACAAAGAGCTTGCTATTGTCTCCCCCTTGTGAAAAATATCCACTCCCTCTGCGGGATGGTGAAGGTGCCTGTGTGCCTGTGTTGACCCCTCAGCCATTCTCAGAACGGAACGGATGCCACCCTGCCCAGTCGAGAGCTCAAAGCCAGGAGGTGCCCTTTAGAGTCTAAATGAGATCGTACCCAGACAGTGGGGACTCCCTCAAAAAGGAGGAGACAGAAAGAGAAATAGAAGATCAAGGAAGTGAGACACAGGCCCTTTGAAGGATTGTTCCAGAAGACAGACCCACGCGGAGTCTGTTTAATTGGCTCTACAGGTGCTCACGTGCTCAAATCACATCTGTGGGTACCTGAGAGAAAACTGTGCTGGACTCCGCAATGCCCTGCAGATGCGCATGTGCGTGACGGGAGCTCACACGCACTGCACTCAGCATCCTGAAATTAACTTAGAATGGAGGCAGCTGCACAAACGTTTCATGCATTTGAGATAGGCAGCATTTTGCAGACTCATCCCCTCACATATGTACCCACTGGGGCATTCCTGACACTCCTCCTGGGAACAGTGACAACAACTGTCTCCCCTTGGAATCTGCGAGTGGCGACGTGTAAGAGCACGCCTGGATTTGCACAGAGAACGTGTCTGGGTTAAGGGTTATTTCTCCCCTAGACACCATTCTCCATCCTTTCTAAAAATCATTGGCAATGGGCACGACTTCTATATTCAGGAAAAAAAAATGTCTGTCTAAACAAACAGGAAGAGCCAAGCTTTGATCCCGAATGCTCACCTGTCACCGTGGCCCTCACAGGCTCCAGCTGTTCTTTCTTATTCCTGCCAAATAGTACATCCATCGCCTGGAGCGCTGAGGCAGTGTGATGTTCACGGCATCAGATGCTCTCCTCCGTGTTCCGAGGGACTGCTTCTCTCGTGTCCCTTCCCGCGTTCCTGTCCCCTCCCTCCTTCACATCTCCGTCCCTCCGGGTGCCATGTGTTTCTCCCTTTGCGTTTTTCCTCTGGCCAGCTCAGATTTCTCCCTCCCTGAGGCCCTGGGATCCCTTTATATGCACAAGGAAAGCTGTGCTGGCGTTATTTATAAGACGTTTGGCCAAAGGTCGGTTCCCAAGCCATGTGTCGTAGCTAATCTTTAATCCTCTTATGGTCCCAGTTCCCCCAGCTTTCCCTCTCCAGTTTCGCTTCTGGCGTAACCCAGAAGAGCCCGTCTCCGACTGGGCTCCAAATCGCTGGAGAGAATTCAGTGGATTCTGTCGAGTTATGTTGTCTGAAATGATCCGACCCCGGAGCTGGAGATGTTTATATTCAGAATTAGAAGAGAGGCGGGTCAGGGCCATCCCAGGCGCTGGGGATCAGGGAAGCCTTTGGCAGGCTGATCACGTGAATTCCTGCGGCTCATCAGGGAATCTCTTCAGCAGAACTGGGAAAAGTTTTGTGTTTTGTTTTGTTTTTGATAAAGTGCCCTGATCCTCCCCACTAAAAATCATATGTAAGCCGGGCGTGGTGGCATCTGACTGTAGCCCCAGCTATTCAGGAGGCTGAGGCAGGAGGATCATTTGAGCCCAGGAATATGAGGCTATAGTGAGCCATGATCATGCCACTGCATCCCAGACTGGGTGAGAGTGAAACCCTGTCTCAAAAAAAAAAAAAAAATCATATATAAAGAGCAACTTGATGTATTATTTTCTTTTTGGAAGAAAGAGATCTAAAATTGTTTCATATGCTCATTAAAAAAATAAAGACAGGGAACAAAAGACTCGGGAATTGTGAAGGATAGTAAAACAACAAACTTCAGTTCAACTTCCAATCCTATCAAGAGGGCAAAACAATGCCTATGTTTGATTTTAGAGTTTCCCTATATTTATGTATCTTGATGTGATGTGATGCCTTAACTGAGCACTGGGTGAAGAGCTAATGAACCCATCTTAACTCATGTTGCTGAAAGAACCAGTTTTTCCCTTACAGGTATATCAACAAAACCCAGCTGAGAAGAATGATAGTTGAGCCTGGGCTGAAACGATGTATCGGGACCTCAGAACCATTCATTCCCAAGAGCAGCATGGTCTGGCTGTGCTTCTGCCTGGCAGCACATTCAAGTCACCTGACTGAGAGTTTTAACAGTGCCAGAGGCCCAGGCATGGTGGCTCATACCTGTAATCCCAGCTACTTGGGAGGCTGAGGTGGGAGGATACCTTGAGGCCAGGAGTTTGAGATCAGCCTGAGCAATATGGCAAAACATTCTTCCTCCCCATCTCTACAAAAACAAAAAATAAGAAAATTTGACTAGATGTGGTGGCTCACGCCTATAATCCCAGCACTTTGGGAGGTCGAAGTGAGAGGATTGCCTGAGCCCATGAGTTCAAGACCAGCCTGGGCAACTTGGGGGACCTTATCTCTACAATAAATCAATAAAAATTAGCTGGGCATGGTCGTGCATGCCTGTAGTCCCCACTACTCAGGAGACTGAGGCAGAAGGATTGCTTGAGCCTAGTAGATCGAGGCTGCGGTAGCCATGATCACTCCACTGCACTCCAGCCTGGGCACAGAGTAAGACTCTGACTCAAATAAAATAAAGGGGACATGATGACATCAGACTCTCCAGACTTTCGTAAATAAAGTTTCTAGGAAAAGCACCCAGCCCCAGACAGTTGCCAATCTACATATTTCCCTTTTCCGCCCAGTGTCTCAGAAGGCATTTCCCTTTGACCACATGTCCAGAAAGATCCCTAGTAAGTTGCCAGTTTCTCCCGCTCTCTGGTCTAACCACGTATATCCATGTCAGTGTTCTTTATTCCCAGCTTGTGAAAGCCGCGTTCTTGTGAGGAATAAGTAAGAATGTCTGGCACATACTAAGGGCTCAAGGAGGAAAAAAAAAAAAAAAAGGGACACCACCAGGGTGGAAGAAAGCTCAGGGCTTAGAGGTCAGAAGACCTGGGTTTGGATCTCAGCCCCGAGACTTAGTGCTGTGACTGCTGTCACGTGATCCCTCTCAACCTCACTTCACTCAGCAAAACTGGATGGTGATATCTATGCCACAGGGCTTGTTGGGAGGGTGACAATCAAATCATATGTGTGAAAACTTGACTGTGCTCTTCTTTCTGGTCCATCTTTGCATATTCAGAAAAGCAAAGACCTCCATCCACCAGCGCTATACCTGCACTGGCTGGCCCTGGTCTTACACAATCCCATGAGATGTGTGTTCTTAGCACCGTTCTCAAGTTTGGAGACCTCAGGGGAGGTAATCAGCTTGTCCTGGGTCTCACAGCAATGAAGAAGTCCAGTTAGGAAGCAGAACCAGGCAGCCTGACTTCACACTACAGACTGACAATTTCACACAGATCCAGCCCATGGTGGACGGAATGGAATGAAGCAATGGGTGGATTCACCGATGGGTGGATGGACCCTGGAAAGACTCAGTCATGGGTGAGTGTCATTGATATGATACCAAGGACAAGTTTCTCATTCAGGTCCCAGCTGCACCCCAGGGACAGTTAACATACCAAGAAAAAGGTCTTTTTTGTTTTGTTTTAATAATGGTGATAATAAATGAAGCATAACAATAGGCATCTGTATAAGTTTGCTAGGACTGTCATAACAAGATATTGCAGATTGAATGACTTGAACAACTGAAATTTATTTTCTCACGGTTCTGGGGATGGGAAGTCCAGGGTCAAGGTGTCAGGTTTGAAGATCAAGGTGGCAGTTTTGATTTCTTCTTGCGATGTCCTCACATGGTCTTTCTCTGTGTGCACACATCCCTGGTGTCTCTGTGTCCAGATTTCCTCTTCTTTTTCACTATTTTATTATTTTATTCAGATTGGAGTGCAGTGGTGCAATCATAGCTCACTGCAGCCTTGACCTCCTGAACTCAGGTGATCCTTCCATCTCAGCCTCCTGAGTAGCTGGGAGTACAAGGTGTGCGCCACTATACTTGGCTAATTATTATTAATTTTTTTGGTTGGAATCTCACTCTGTTGCCCAGGTTGGAGTGCAGTGGCACACTCATAGCCACTGAAGCCTCAACCTGCTGGGCTCAGGCGAGCCTTCTGCCTCAGACTTCCAAGTCGCTGGAACTACAGGTGCGTGCCACCATGCCCGGCTAATTTTCTGATTTATTGTAGAGACGTGGTCTTGCTAAGTTGCCTGGACTGGTCTCGAACCCCTGGACTCAGGCAATCCTCTCATCTCTGCTTTCCAAAGTGCTGGAATTACAGGTGTGAGCCACTGCATCTGACTGCTTGCCTAATTTTTAAAATTTTTTTGTAGATATAAGGTCTTGCCATGTTGTACAGGCTAGTCTTGAACTGCTGGAATCAAGTGATCTTCCTATCTTGACTTCTCAAAGTGCTGGGATTACAGGTATGAGCCACTAAGTCTAGCCTACATTTTATTTTCTTTTAAGGACACCAGATATTGGACACAAGTCATTAGTCTACCCTAATGGCCTTATTTTAATATAAACACATTTTAAAAGGCCCCATCTCCAAATACAGTCACATTCTGTGGTACTGAGAGTTAGAGCTTTAATGTCTGAATTTTTTTTTTAAGGGGGAAACATGATTCAGCCCATAACAGCATCATCAAGACCCAATGTGTTAAGGGAAGACATTTTGACTTCAGGTACTAGAATGTCTGCTGAAACCCCCAAGATGAGCATTGATCTCAGACACTGAGCCATTGGAGGTGGCGTGCTGTGTCCCTCAGAAGCTTATATGGCCCAGGGCTTCCCCACTGCCAACCTATGAGGGCTGGCTTCTCCTCCTGGCTTGTTAATTTCTGGTCATGAATGGCTGTCTTCGTCCCAGGAATCACGTTCTCACTCACTGAGCTGCAGAAGTGGGAAAACGAGGGAGAGACAAGCCAGGTGCAGTTCACGCCTGTAATCCTAGCACTTCAGGAGGCAGAGGTAAGAGGACTGCCTGAGTCCAGGGGTTCGAGGCCAACCTGGGCAACTTGGCAGGGCCTCATCTCTACAATAGATCAAAAAATTAGCCAGGCATGATGGTGCACACCTGTAGTTCTAGCTACTTGGAAGACTGAGGCAGAAGTATTGCCTGAACCCAGCAGGTAGAGGCTGCAGTGGCCATGATCATGCCACTGCCTTCCAGACTGGGAGTGAGACTCCAACTCAAAAAAAAAAAAAAAAAAAAAAAATTCAAGTTCGTCTATGTCTCTCATTTTATGCTTGATGAAAATTGTCCCAGAATCCTCTGAGCAGGTTTTCTCTGTATCTCATGGGCTGAATGGTGTCCCGTGACCATCCCTAGCCTGTCCCCTGCAAAGACAAACAGGAGAGCCTTAATCTCCTCAAACCAATCTTGAGTGCCCCCTGGGATGGTACGTCACCACCCAGATCCTATCAGGAGTCCATTGGCAAGAGAAAGAAGGGGGATGTCCTGGGATAGGCAACTGACAGTGTCTGCTACAGGCAGTGCCACCTTCATTCCTTCTCACATTCATTCATTCAACACATTTACTGAACACCTACTATGGGCTGGAAACGAAGCAGGAAACAAAACAATTCTGTGCCTTCTTGGAACTGACACTTGCTATATGCCACGTCCTGGGGAAAAAGAGGTGATTCGTGGGACCCAGTCTCTGCTTTCTTGGGCTCTCGTGTGTCTTCCTGTTTGGTGGCTGAGGATGGCCTTAGCTTTCATCTCTCTACCTCATGACTGCTTCAGGGGCTCTACCCATCCTGTGGGACAAGTGGCCTCAGAGAAGGGGAGCGGCCTCTTCCTTGCCCCTTCCTAAAATTACAGAGGTAAGAGGATTCCACAGTCAAAGCTTCCACGCCCACCACATATGAGGAGGGACCCCCCAAAACCTGGGATTCACTTTTTGAAGTATACTCAGAATTTGTTCGTCTGGATCAAACGGTCAACCAAAGTTTGTATTCTGG